AAAAAAAAAAAAAAAAACTGCAAAAAAAACCAAGCTAAGATCAGCCAGGCATGGCAGCATGTGCCTATGGTCCCAGCTCCTCAGGGGACTGAGGAGGGAAAATCACTTGAGCCCAGGAGTTCAAGGTCAGCCTGGGCAACATAGTGAGACAATCACCTTTAAAAAACAAAGACTGGACCAAAAAAGTTAGTATCAGTGGGGTGAAGGCAAAAGCTGGAAGGACACAGAATATTCTAGATTAAAACCTAACAGTCAAAATGCCTAAAAACGAATCTTCACTAGATCCTGGACTGGGATTCAAAACAAAAACCCACTATTAAAAAAATTATTTTTAGAGCAATTGAGGAAATCTGAATATGGACTGAAAGATACAGTTATTAATTTTCAGGTGTGATAATAGTACTGTAACGGTTATGAAGTAGAAAGTCCTTATTCTAATTAAGCAGGTCCCCCGGGGAAAGAAAAAAGTGCATGTGAGAGACACAAAGCAAATCTAGACGGGCTGAGGCTGGGTGAGAGGTGCCCACCTATAATCCCAGTACTCTGGGAGGCCAAGGAGGGAGGATCGCTTGAGCAGAAGAGTTTGAGGTTGCTGGGAGTTATGATGCCACGACCCTTGACCCAGGGGCGACAGAGTGAAATTCTGTCTCAAAACAAACAAAGAACAAATAACTACCTGAATCTAGGTAAGTGTATGCAAGCACTCATTGTATAATCCTGTATGTTTAACAAGTTCCCAAATAAAAAATTGGGGGAAAAAACTATAGACATGATGATTCTAATTCTGTATGCCATGGGAAGGAATGTAGGGAACACCAACATGTAAAAGGACTGTAGGGGGCCTGGCACAGTGGCTCATGCCGGTAAACTGGGAGGCCGAGGGAGGTGGATTGCCTGAGTTCACAAGTTTGAGACCAGCCTGAGCCAGAGCAAGATCCCCATCTCTAAAAATAGCCAGGCATTGTGGCAGGTGCCTATAGTCCCAGCTACTCGGGAGGCAGAGACAAGAGAATCATTTGAACCCAAGAGTTTGAGGTTGCTGTGAGGTATAACCCCATGGCATTCTACCTAGGGTGACAAATGAGACATGAGACTCTGTCTCAAAAAAAAAGAAAAAGAAGAAAAGAAGAGATTGCAAGACTGCAGGAAATACTCTCATGCCCTAATAGTAATAGTGCCTTTTTATCACAGTGGTTTTATAGGTGATTTATTTTCCTTTCTAATTTTTTTATTTTTTAAAATGGGGATATCTTTTTCTTTTCTTTTTTGAGACAGAGTCTCAAGCTTTTGCCCTGGGGAGAGTGCCGTGGTGTCATAGCTCATAGTAACCTCCATCTCTTGGGCTCAAGCCCTCCTCTTGCCTCAGTTTTTCTATTTATTTTTTATTTTTACATATACATGTGTTTATTAAGTTGTTTTTCTATTTTTAGTAGAGATGGGGTCTCGCTCTTGCTTGGGCTAATCTCAAAATTGGGAGCTCAAATAATCTACCCGTCTAAGCCTCCCAGAGTGCTAGGATTATAGGCGTGAGCCACGGCGCCTGGCCTTAAAATGAGGATATCTTACTTTTATAATCAGAAGCAATTAAAACATGTTCTTAACACACTTTAACACAATGACACAAATAGGCTGGTTCCCTTACAATCCACAGGACACTCCCAGGGTGGAAGGGCCTGTGGACGTTGGTTTCTCCCTGGGTCATGCTCTGCCGACTCTGCAGCGAGGATGCTGGGTCTTACAACTTACTTGGTGCTGGGTCTTATTCTCCATCTGCCCCAGCTTGGTGTTCATTTTATCCTGAACCGACCCCAGCTCTGCTTTTATCTCCTCCACAGTGGCCTCCAACTGATTCTCCAGCTTGTTGATTAGAGGTTCACATCTGCAGCCATTGATTGGTGCCTAAGAGGAAACAGGAGAGGTCAGTCCCGTGTTTGGCCCCCTCATACGTATGTTTTGAATACCTGCTATGTGCCAGGCAGCACAGCAGGGGATACAGAGGATGGGGGAGAGGGACTTCCAAATGTCCCCTAGGCCAAGATCAGGTGCAGTGGGAGCGGCGCTGATAAGGCTCAGAGAGGGCAAGATAAGGACCCTGCACGTAGCCGCTTTTTTCTACTCTGGGGCCTCAAGATATCCAGTCACCTAAGGGTGGTGGAGAAAGCTCAGTACCTAACTACACCTTGGTTTGCCTTACTGTGTCTGCATGTTTATGTGGGAGCCCCCCGGCCCATCTTCAGAGCCTGCTCTGCTAAGTCACTGCCCGCAGGGGCGAGCAGCCCCAGCATGATGCAGCCAGCCAGCCACACTGAGGGGCTGGCCCCTGTCTCTGGGCAGGGCTTCGAGGTACCTGCATCACTTTCCCGTCCTTGCCACGATACAGCGTGTAGAGCTGGTACGCCCTGAACTCGTGTGGTGGGGGCGGGGATGAACACCGATGCCTGCCCCTCTTTTTAGGGTGATTATGAGTGTGCATGTTCTTCTGGTGGCCAGGCTGCTGGTCTGCTGGTGGGATGGGGTCAGAAAATGCTGACACCTGTGAGGGAAGAAGAGATGACACCCCCAAGCCCTTTGACATCTGTGACAGTGACACCAGCCAATGGTTCCCATCTCACCCACTTTGGGGCAAAGAATCCCACCTGGTTTGCCACACAGTGTCCCGCTCTCACCATGTTAGGAGATCAGTGCACTTGCCTGTGCCTGCAGTTGGGCAGATTGAATCTCTGTGCTCTGGCCGCAAACCAGCAGCCAGCTGAGGCAGCTATGCAGCTGCTGGGCATGACGACATAGACGGCCCAGAGTCCTTTGCCCCCTGCCACCCTGCCTCCAGCCATGCTCTTGGCTGCCTTCCTGTGCCTCCTGACCTTGGGCTTGGACTTTCTCTTCCTGTGATCCTGTGCTCTGGGCTCCGGGGAGGTTGACAGGAAATCTTCTCTGGTCTCTTCTTTTCTGAGCACAGCCTGTTCACTGCTGGGGGTGTCTCCTGCTGAGACACTGCCCTACAAAGAAAAGCAGCCCAGGAGCCTGTTCTACCTGCTCCCTTGGCCTTTTCAAATAGGGTAAAATTCTATTTGCAAGATTCTACCTCATAAAGGACCCATGAGAATCTTTGCCAGTGACAGATTCCAGACACAGGGAGCACCGCTTGGTGGCCTTGACTAAACATACATATATAATGCTTTTCTTATTGGGTTGAAAATTTGGCTTTCAGTTTATTTATTAGATCACAAGCTAAATATATCCTTGGGTCTGTATTCTACAATTCCAGGAACCTGCCACACACAAACCATCTCAGCATTAGACTGTTGGTCTTCTGCTTTTCAACAAAACATAACCAACTCATTCTTTACATCTGGACCGTCCCCCCAACCCAACAAGTCATAGCTAAGAGTAAGAACTTTCTAAAATGAAAAAAATTACAACACATTTCTTTGTGAGAACTTTTACAACTTTCAAGAACAATTCACATATAGAAACTTAATCCAGGCTTGGCGCCTGTGGCTCAAGTGGCTAAGGCACCAGCCACATACACCTAAGGTGGCGGGTTCGAATCCAGCCTAGGCCCGCCAAACAACAATGATGGCTGCAACCAAAAAATAGCCAGGCATTGTGGTGGGTGCCTGTGGTCTCAGCTACTTGGGAGGCAGAGGCAGGAGACTCGCTTGAGCCCAGGAGTTGGAGGTTGCTGTGAGCTGTGATGTCACAGCACTCTACCCAGGGGGATAGCTTGAGGCTCTGTCTCAAAAAAAAAACAAAAAAAGAAAGAAAAGAAACAATCCAAATTGCAATGCTTTAACCATAAAAATCAAAAAATTTCAAAATAGCAGATAGAAAAGCAAGTCCTTAGTGATAAATTTTATGCACCAAAAGTTGTCTCTATATCCTAGTCTTCTTCCTCCTGAAAAAGTTGAAATGCTCAGTTTACTCTAGGGCTACCATGCAGAGTTGTGCAAGTTGTTCACTGCACAAGGGGACCTGGCTGGGGGAATAAGAGTGGCAAGAGTAGCTGAAATCAACTCTATTCACCATGTGTGCCCTGTGCCGGGCTGGTCTGTCCAGGGGTCATCTTTTTGTAATTTGCACAGAGAGCCCTGTGGGCTACCATAGCTTGGTCTATTTCCTAAATGGAAAGAGAGGAAACCACCTATGCACATGGTTCTCCAACTTCAGTCCACATTAGAATCACTCACAGGGCTCATTCAAACATAGACTGCTGGCCCACCCCAGAGTTTCTAAGCCAGGAGGTCTGAGGTGAGGCTCAAGAATCTACATTTCTAACAAAGTGCCAGGCGACGCACTGGCACACTGGCTAGACACCTCACTTTGAGACCTGCAGCAGCACATGGCACATGATGACCCCTGGTGGGGTCACAGGAGGGTGTGTCCACCTGGCGAGGACAGCGGCCAAGACACCTGAGGCTATGGACATGCCCCACAAGGAACTGCATGGGATGTGGGCAAAACACACAGATGGGGATAGCAGCTGAGAGCTGTCTGGAGCAGTGCAGCTGCTGCCAAACGGGCCTAGCTGAAGCAGGGAGCAGATCTCCCACCCTCTGTGGGCAGGCAGAGTTGGGCGTGGCAGGAGGCTGCTCCCACCTTGCTCTGTGCCACCTCATCTCTTGGCACAGACTGGGCTCTCCTCTCTTCCTTGAGCCTCTCTCTCTTTTTCCTCAGGCTTCGCCCACGACTGAAGCGTAAGACCTAAAGAAGGCAAAAGGCATCATTATAAACCACGGTGTGAGGCATCAGAGTGAGCAGACGCACCTTAGACCTACCGGGACTTACAGCTCCGCTAGAGACTGAGCATTCACATCAAGCCAGCACCTCTTGGCCACCTGTGGGGCCTCCTAGGTCTTGTGCTAGGCAGTGTAGGAACCCAGAGGGTAGGGGATTGCCCTTGCCCTCAAGAAGCTTGAAGCCTACGATGATCATAACAACAAGCACTGATGTGCTGGGCAGGAAAGCCGAGGGAGCATCTTTCACATAAACCAAGAGGCAGATGGTGCTCTCTGGAGCTGGGCAACATGGCAACCCTCTGCCAACAACAATCTCACACTCCACCTTGATACACTGGACCTGAACTAGCCCCCAGATTTTTTTTTGGCCAAACCGTGTCCAAGTCATATTCAATTTGAGTCCAACATCCAGGCATATCTATGGGCCATGGCACTAGCCATGGGGCAGGAATCTCCTCACCAAATGGAAGCATTTAGTGTGGACTTACAGTGCAGGGCAGCCGGGTGGACACAGATAAGAACTGCATGGGAGGGGCAGTGCCTGTGGCTCAAAGGGGTAGGATGCCAGCCCCATATACCAGAGGTGGCAGGTTCAAACCCAGCCCCGGCCAAAAACTGCAAAAAAAAAAAATAATAATAATAAATAAATAATAATAACAATAAAAAAAGAAAGAAAGAAAGAACTGCATGGGAGGCTGAGGCAAGAGAATCGCTCACGCCCAAGAGTTTGAGGTTGCTGTGAGCTGACGCCACCACACTCTACAGAGGGTGACAAAGTGAGACTCTGTCTCAATATAAAAAAGAGAAAAAGAACTGTATGTGGGTCAGACAGACCCAGGCATGAGCCCAGTAGCAACTGGTATCAGGGTCTCCAGGTAAGTGATCTGACCTCACTATATTCTGTATCCTCAAATGTAAGAATGGGGAGTTGTTGGGATTAACCAAGGAAAAGTAGGTGGCTGGCACACAGGGACAACAGTCACTGGCAGGTGTCTCCCTTCCTGCCTCTGGTTGCTTAATTGGCAGAGGATGTTGAACCAGAGTACAGATGTTTGAGCAGGTAGAAACCCTTCAACTGATGGCCCACAGTACTTAAGAATATAGAGAAGTCCTTAGGCCAAAAAGTCTGAGAACCACTGCCCTAAGCCATTTCTCCAGTTAAATTCAGCCTCCACAAGAAGTCAGCCATGATGACAGGAAGTGACTGCACCCCCTGTGCCTGGTTCACAGACTCTTGGGACTGGAAACAGTGCCAGAACCAGTCTGAAAGTCATGTTCAGAGCATTTGTGAACCACATCATTTTTAAATGACAAGTGACACTCAAAGGACATCCAAACCCTTGCTCTGTGCCACCTCATCTCTTGGCACAGACTGGGCTCCAAACTCAAAATAACCATCAGCAAATTTGCTCCATTCTCTGTTATTAGGCAGTAACAAGAACATTGCATGGCTTATAGCCTTCCTCAGCAAACCACCACACATCCACCAGGTGGGATGTTATTAATCTTTTCCAGTCTACAGAAATCTGGGAATATTGATATTTAGGCCTTGGAAAGCAGCTTCCTCTCAGTACTGTTGTGGCCCATAAAATGCATGTCCAGCTAAGGGGCTGTAAGACAAGGGGGTTTCTTTTTTCAGATGAACAGTAAGTCTTTCTTACTAGGTCCTCAGAACAGTGGATCCTCAGAACAGTATGCATTAACTTTTTATGCATATCTTGGAGTTCTGTGTTTGTGTTGAGAATAAGGTTTAGTATATACAATTATGTGTAACATAAACTTTTATAACATCTCATCCAACTTATTTACTACTCAACATAAATATATAAGCATCATTTTTAAAAATGGAAACACGAGAACTTGCTCAGGGGAATTGTCCACAGTAAAGCTTTCCCCCTGTAGGTGAAGGTCCTTGGTCTCTGGAAGACAAAATGACAGGTGGATTAAAGACACCTCCGTCTTTACGTGCCTGGGGGACTATCTCTCCAGACCCACAAGACTTGATTTTTGTGTGGCTGCTGGTCACTAAACGGTCACATGCTAAAATGCCAGACACATGTGAAGGATTCTAGAATCTATACACCACCCTATACCTTTTGATCCATAAGAGACTAACAGTTTTCTATCAGGATTCTGTTGATGATTCTTTGGAAACACCTGGAGAGAGGTGGGAGCTCCACCCCTAGCAGTTTTTCCTAGATGACTCCCTCCTGTCAGAAGTTCTATGGACTATCAGAGACCACTGAGAAGGACCAGCTACCTCATGCTTAAGAGGGTGATCAATTTTGCAAAAGATAAAAATATCTTTCCCAAAACTATTAGACTAGGCATATTTTTAAAACTTAAAAAAAACTTAAAAAAATGGCCATGCAAAACCCTGAGTAAGGCTGGTGTGGGGTCATGATGTGGCAGGGCCGTGCTGGGGTCTTTCCTGACGCCCTGAGACTGTCTTCTTCTTGGAACATTAGCCAGAGTAAGATGAAAAGCCAGTGAGCGTCTGCTGTAATGTTATACAGAATAATACCAGTCCAGAAATGACCCAAATGTCCAACACCAAGGAAAGGCAGTCCAAGAAATAACCAAATGTCCAACAGCATTAAAATGTTTTATATTTTAATAAAATATTGACTGCAACAAAAAAGACTATTGTGCTTCCATTATAGTGACAAAACATGAAGACTGCAGAACACTGTCCTATCACAGTTAGGATAAAAGGCGGAATATAAAAGAGTATGTCCACTGTAAGCACAATTATATAAACTTATGTGTGTGGAAGGTAATGTGAAGAGATAAAAACAGCTGTCTCGGGGTGCTAGAATTATGAAGAGCTTATAAATTATCATTCTTTATTGTTACTTAGATAACATCAACCTCAACTCAAATGCTATCAGTCACTATCTTAGAAAACTGGATGATGGTCAAAACAGCATCATTCAATAAAAAAGGAAACCAGATGGCTTCACTGCCTGTAGTGGGGGTCACCTCTTTGTCTCTCCAGCATGAGCCCCTACTTCTGCCTTTCTCCAGGAAATGCCCTTCTCATCCTCAGGCCCTGTCCCACTGGTTTAGGAGTGGGCCTCTGCCCCAAGCTCTTCAGACAAGGTTCTTTCCTGCAATGCTTTATACTAGGACTTCTTCCCTGGCTCAAAATTGGGGAAGTTATAAGCCAGGATGCTGGCTGTGACAATGATCTAGGTGCTGGCACACATGAAGAGCTGCTCTGGATGCCTTTGGCTCCTGTCATCCCGCAGGCCATGTGGTTCTGCATCCCCACTGCCTGGCTAAGGTCCCTGCCGGGCAACCTGAGGAGTCCCAGCAGCTCCCTGGCCCCACGTGGCCAGTGCCACAGAAGTGCAGAAGTGCAGGGAATCCTACCTGGGGAGCTTTAGTGAGGAGAAGAGCAACCTCCGGGTTATTGTGGTAGCGGGCAGTGTCCAGCGGAGTCTGGCCTGCCTAAGGAAAGGCATGGGAAGGGCAGGTCAGAAAGGCTGTCAGCCCACACACGCAGCCTTGCGGGCACAGCTCCCACCCAGAGTCACACATGCAGTGTTGCAGGCACAGCTCCCACTCAGGGCACAGCTCCTGCCCGGAGTCACACATGCAGCCTCACAGGCACAGCTCCTGCCAGGAGTCACACAGCACCCATGCTGCTCAGCAGAGCTCTGCCACATGTGAGTGTGGCCCTCGCCCCTCAGCGGGGAGCCAAGTCATGCTGCAGGGCATGCTAATGAAATAACAGGACACCAGAGGGCTCCTGCAGAGCCAGTGGCAGTACATGCTGCAGGAGGCACAGGCTGGGGCAGCATTGCCCACCAACAAGTGCTTCTGGGAGAGGAGGGAAGGGACACCCTGATAGGATTCAAGTAGAGCATCACAGGTGAGGGAACAAAGGATTATGAAATCCAGCCCTGTGATAACACTTCCCTGGGGAGCCTGGGAAGATGCCTGCAGGGCAGAGCAGTGCCTGGCCAGAGCCTCTCAGGAACTAGGCTGTGAAAAGCAAATTATGCAGCTATGGCCGTAACACACTGTGCTAAGGTAAGCTAAAAACCAAGAATTGATAACAAGGCGGGGCATGTTGGCTCAGGCCTATGATCCTAGAACTCTGGGAGGCCAAGGACAGTAGATCCTCTGAGCTCAGGAGTTAGAGATCAGCCTGAGCAAGAATGAACCTTGTCTCTAATAAAAATAGAAAAACTAGCTGGGCATTGTGGCGGGTGCCTGTAGTTTGAGCTATTCAGGAGGCTGAGGCAGGGGTTTGAGGTTGCTGTGAGCCGGGCTGATGCCATGGCATTCTACCCAGTGACAAAGTGAGACTCTGTCTCAAATAAAAAAAAAAAAGAATTGGGATTCAAAAGGAAGGGGAAGGTATTCAAGGCATCATAGAACAGGTGACTGTAACCCACCCCACCCCAGACCAGTTCTGGAGCTATGGGAAGGCAGGAGGAGGAAGGGGGACTGGTTTTGGGGGGGCCAAGACCAGGACACTCCCACCAGCTTCAGCACCCCTGTCCCCCAGACACTCCACATAACTGGCTCCCAGTACCCCTGAGCCTTTCAGGCAGACAAAGACCATAGAGCAGCTTCAGGAAGAAAGAGAGCCTGGTCTGGTGCCTACTGTTAGATCTAGCAGGGGAGGGTGGAAGGTGATGGAGTGGGGATGGGGTAATTTGGAAGAGAAGGGAGTTCGTTTTGAGCCTGACTGATCTGATGGCCACGTGGCCATTTTCCTGAGGATGACGTGCACTTCTGGGCCAGGAGCTCACTTCATGAGACATCCACTTATCAGTTTATGTGTATGAGCTTCCTTTACAAGCCAGGCGACGCTCACTGCAGGAAGCAGTCCAAGGGTGGCCCCCAGGGCTTCTCAATGTCTGGGGCTGCTTGGGCCAAGGGACCTCTTGAGCCCTCTCTGAAAGCCAGGGGACTGTGGCTTCAGCAGAGGGAGTTCCCTGCTCTTTCGGAGTATAGCCAGGCCCTTGGAGGGTGCAGAGACTTAAGTAGTAACATGTCCTGTTCTGGAGTGGGGTTGGCTTTAGAAAGGGTTGACAGCCTTTCTGACCTGCCCTGAACATTGTTGCAGTTCAACTTACATTATTAACAATGGTTCCATCCGCTCCAGCTTCCAGTAAGATTTTAACCACCTTCTTGTGATTCAGGGCAGCAGCGATGTGAAGCGCTGTATCTCCAGCCTGAAATGAGCCGGAAGAAAGACCACTGAACTCCACCTGCTACAGCCTGGGGCTCTCCACACCTGGCCTACCCATGGCTCTTCAAAGTCAAACTGAGATTTGCTTTGGACTGATCTGGGGCCCTTGGCTGAAGTGTTATGTGGCTCCACTGAAAGCGACCTCTGTACCAATATCACGTTCCTTTCTGTACTGGGAATCACACAACAGGACTAAATGCAGGGGAAAGTGATGCTAGGCTGGGGCTGTTGAGAATGGTGGGACCCGAAGCCTCACAAAGACAGGAGGACAGGGTGAGCAGGACAATTATCCCAGAGCTATTGAACTGTTCCTTTGCCCAGAGAGGTCAGAGGTCAGAAGTCAGAGAACTGCTTGGTGTCTAGTGTCACTTTTCTGTCACTGACCAGAGAAGATGTGCAGATGGCCACTACTGTGCATCCCGGAGGGATATAGCCCAGGGATATAGCCCAGCCAGCACAGGTGCACCCCAAGGGGCCACTAAAACCCAGTGCATCTGCAGCCTCAGGCTGTTCTTTGTTTGGGTTAAGACACCGAGAATCAGTGTCCAGTTAAGACTATTTT